TGGACGCTAACACGCACATCCACAAACAAACGCACACACACAGACACACACACAGCCATATATTCAAAAAGAATGTGTCATCTTGCTGACAGTTCTAAATAATTCCTTTTGTGTATTAGATTATTTCACTTTTTAAATGCTAATATTTGGAATTTTTCCTCCTTACATAGAATAGCATATCTATATTTCTCTTTTACTTTTTTATTATACAACATACTTCTAAAAGTATTTGCTTCATTTTTAGTTCCAACACACATTCTGAATTTATGATGTTAAATACACACACACAAACACATACACACAAATATATATATAATGAGCGTTGCCTTCTCTGTCCACTTTTATATAAGAATTGTACATACTATGTTATATTAATTGAACAACTCCGAGTTTCATGTCGAAGCAATTTTCAAATGCTGGAATTATTATATTCATTCTTATTAATGTTTATATATATATATATATATATATATATATATATAGTTGTGAGATATTATGTATATTTCTTAATATCTGATAAACTGACATGTCATTGTTATTTTCATTTTTGCGTAAATTAGGAGACAATTTATTCCATCGAACTCTCTCTCTCTCTCTCTCTCTCTCTATATATATATATATATATATATATATATATATACAGGGTGATCCAAAAAAACGGGAATTTTTGAAGTGCCAGACATGAGCGAGATAGTATCCTTGAGCAATTAAATATTTCGCCATTTACAATTCAAAATGAAATTCAGAGTATCCCAGCTGAGATGTTGCAGCAGTCAATGAGGAATCTCAACAGCAGATTTCAAGAATGCATTCGTACAGGAGGACGCCATCTACAGGACATAATTTTTAAAAAATGAAAATTCCATCATTGTTTCTTAAATGGCATGTTTTAAGGTTTCAATTACTATGAATAAAATGTTTTTCTTACATCACGCTTGGTTTTATTGGATTTTTTGAAAAGTTCCTCTTTTTGGGGTCACACTGTGTATATATATATATATATATATATATATATATATATATATATATATGAGGAATCTAAATGGAATAATAATAATAAAAAAAAAACGAAAGAATATTAATCTACAACCCAGTGTGTCTAATGATTTTAATTTTTTATTTTTTTATTGTTCAATATATATATATATATATATATATATATATATATATATATATATATATATATATATAGTTTTATTTTACTCGATAAGTATGTTCTATTAAAAATAATTTAAAATAACGTTTTAATTCATATAAATATATTTTTCTTCTTTTAATTACCATTAACATTGATATATATATATATATATATATATATATATATATATATATATATATATATATATATTAATAATAACGCTTCCGAGGTTTAATCTTTTTCACAAAGAATGAATTATCTTGCTGAAAGTTCGAAATAATTTAATTCCTCTTGTTCCTTAGCTTATTTCTTCTTTTAAATGCTATTATTTGGATTTTTTTCCTTACGTAATACACTATATCTATATTTCTTTATTGATTTTTTTTATTATACAACTTTCTACCAAAAAGTCTTTGTTTCATTCTTAATTCCCTTATACATTTTGAATTTATGATGTTAAATACACACCCTCACAAACACTCATATATATATATATATATATATATATATATATATATATATATATATATATATATATAATGAGTGTGGCTTTTTAAGAGCTATTTATTATATATATTATGGAATATAGGTAATATCTTACATTAATGGCACAACTATAAATATATTTATATTTATATATAAAATAAATATAATAATTGAAGCTTCTGAAAATTGCTCCGGGATGAAACTCGGAGTTGTACTGTTAATATAAGATATTATGTTTAATTTTTAATAAATATATAAATAGCTCTGTTACTTTACATTGAACACTGTATTTTCTTACACTATAGATTATTTATATGTATTTCTATATGATTGCTTGCTCGTATACCTTTATATGTATATTTACATACATTCTATCTCTAATGCTGATGAGTTTATCCCATAACTATAGCACACCTTAAAACTATATATATATATATATATATATATATATATATATATATATATATATATATATATATATATATAGAGAGAGAGAGAGAGAGAGACAGAGGGAGAGAGAGAGAAAGAGGTTGACTGAATGACAAAATGTAAAAATAATCTATGTGACATGTTGGATACTTCAAACGTAGTTCTTCAAACTAATTTCTTCAGACACAGTTTGAAGAAGTCCATTCGTAGGTCGAAACGCGTCACATAGAATGTTTTCCATTGACATTAAATTATAAACGATTATTCTGATATAAAGAGTTTATATAGCATATTCTCTCATATGTATGCCTACACACACAAATACACACACATATATATATTCATGTATATAAATATATTATTAAATGTTGCTATATTTGTAATAGAAAAGTTCTCAATATCGGTGATAGAACCTTTATTGATATGGACTATGTGGACAAAGGAATCACTACTGCATGGCGAGCGTCAGTTTCACCTCTACATGCGATTCTCGGACTTTGGTAAATCGATTTCACGTTTGGAACTGATAGCTGTGTATCGACTAATTCTAATCTTCTCAATTTACGTTCGGACTGTAGTCCTCGTGTTCATTGTCATCGCAACGCGTCGGCTGTTGTGACCCCACCCCCGGCCATCATAAGTGGTATATCGTTCCTGGTAACCTAGCGGGAATATCCAAAATTGAATTCTTTTGTTCTCTTTTCATTTCCCATGTCTAGAGATATTTCGTCTGGTTCTTATTTTTAATTCTGCTCAGTTATTGTTCGCCTTGTGGTCCCCTGAGCTCAAATACACACTACACAGAGTAGGGATTGAACTCATAATTACTATATCATGAAATACACGAACTAAATTTAATTCACTATGCTATTGTTCCGTAGGTTAATGAAGACAGGAGGACGCAACTGTCGAAAAGTTGTGATAATAACATGATGTAATGGAATAACCTGTCACCCCCATGAGTAACAACACTATAGGTAGCAACTGCCTATAAGTATCCGTAAGGCAACGGAATACAGGAGCCTAGCTGGGATCTGTTATTCAGATCTTGGCTGTTGAACCCACGGCCCGAAGGCAGAGAGGACTCCGGACGATAAGACAAATATAAGATATTTTTGCAGTTGTCATTTTATACCAACTTGTCTTGTCCGCAGAATTGATCTGGGAAATTAACTGTATTGTCGAGATGGAAAAAAAAAATCTCTTAATATAAAGGAAATTTATATTAACCAGAAAAAGGCTTAGGCAGGAGCGTCTATCGTTTTAAATTTGATTTTTTTTAATGTAACTATAACAACAAAGACATTTCGATTTGAAAAAGTCGGAAGACGAGACGCGTCGGCAAAATCTAAGAATTTTTTTTCCAATTGTCATTTTATACCAATAAACCTTAACTTATTCTATTCACTGTGTTTGTCTATATATTCCTATTAGCACGGGATATAGCATAACGTCAAAGATAATGACGACAATCCGAATATAAGTACTCTAAATATTGATTTCAGAAAATTAGACAAATTAAGTATATAATTATTTTAGAAGTAGTATTTAATCTTTATTTACTCTTAAATAAATTCTTTTCAATATTAGAACTGTTATATTACTCTTAAAATAATGTCATGTTTGAGAGATTCAACAGGGTATCTGTTGTGTATGATACACCTAATTTACATAAGCGGACTACCGACCATATAAATATGGGTTGGTACCGGAAGACGGGGAAGATAGTAGAGATTAAGAAATTGAATCCAGAGACTCTGCCCGACTGCGATTTAGTCAACCCATTATGCAGGAACAGTCTTCCCAAGAATATACCAAACTAACTGTAAATATTGTGTACCTATTCTTTGTTTCAATATATTTTGTTAACGTACATTTTGTGTTGTATTATTCCATGCTTATTTAAGCTTCAACAGTATCATAGTTAACAAGCTTGTGTCCCAAGATCAATTACGACTGAGTAGCAAGTTTAATCTTCATCAATGCACATGGCCTTGTGACACATCTAAGCTATCGTTATTACTATAAGAATTATCACACTTAGTGTCTCGTGTTTTTCGGGCCGTTGCTGTAGTATTGGAAGAAAGGCATGAAGAAATAACATTGTTTCAGGCGTAAAGCAAAACAAGGCAAAATTGCATCCATTATGAGTATTTAGTCTTTCATTTATTTGCTTGATTTCAGCCTCACGGCTTGGTATTTGCGTCGGTCTGCGTTTTGCTATTTGATTAACAACAACTGAATCACAATGATGGTATCAAGGGGAAATGAACAAAGTTTTAATGCAAGCCGACCAGTACAAATTAATTTTCATTAGACCGTGCCGCATTACCAGCAACAAGATCTTGTAAGATTTGGTCGTATGCGAAAAGGAATTTGATCAGACAATCGTCTCAAATTTGCCTGCCTATTTTCTCTCTTTCAGTTAAAGAGAGGCCAGGGAACGGCAGTCATTTGAATGACGGCAAGTTTAGCGAATTCTTAATGACGGTGCAGTGAACACTCGGAATAAAGCACATACGCTAGATTTATTTGATTTCAGATCTGAGCCAATATTTCTTGAATTTACGATCAAGGAGCATAACCTTTTCCAATTTAGTTAATTTACATGATGCATGTTTAAGAATAAATACGAGGTTGACCTACCGATTCCTTTCTTTTAAAGTTGTGAAAACAAAATATTCCTGAATCTGCTACTCAGTTACCTTCATTTAATTTGCAATTTTAAATGCCTTAAATATTCAAAATGGGAGGGGAGGAGCACATTATTTATTGCCCGGATGTGAGTAACGCCACATAGTTGAATTTCGCCAGCGGATGGGTAAGCTGGGTGAGAATTCTGCTCGAAGTAAGCATATGAGATGACAATGTTGTTTATGATCCGAAGAACAATTGGGAAAATGTTTGTCTTATACAATGAAAGGATTCGATCAATACACAATAATCGATGAATAATAAATCTATCTATCTATCTATCTATCTATCTATCTATCTATCTATCTATCTATCACCGACTTCGCATTTATTTCTCTATCTATTGCAGTTTTCATATATGTTTACGTCAGTTTTCCCATCTATCTATCTATCTATCTATCTAGTCCTCCATTAATGTATCGATTTAACTATTTATCAATCACCGTCTTCTGATCTATTTTAGTGTATTCATTTATCTATGTCTAACCATCGCAGTGGTCATATCTATTTCGGTCAGTACATCTATCTATCTATCTATCTATCTATCTATCAGGTTGTTCATACGTCTGTCTGTTCATCTTTCTCTCTCTATCTATCTCTCTTTCTCTCTCTCTTTCTTTCTCTCTATATATCTATATATTATAATTATTTAAAAAAAAATGATTCCTTCGCTACATAAGAGTTCTCATGTTTCAAAAACGAGAGCCGAAACCCTTAATATAATTATTAAAATTAAATTGAGTTAAATTATCAAGCCCTGTTTCATCCTCAAGCGAAAATTTAGGAACCTAAAGTCCTAAATTTTCGCTTGAGGATGAAACAGGGCTTGATACTTTAATTTAATTCTAATTTAATTTAATCATATTTTTTTTTAAATAATTATAATTTAAGCTCTACTTCTGTATGGAGCACTTTTTTAAAAAAATAAAAACAATAATACTAAAGAACTCCGGATTATTTACTTCATGTGTTCTTTCCTATTTTTCTACATATCTGCACACACACACACACACACACACACACACACACACACACACACACACACACACATATATATATATATATATATATATATATATATATGTCACAGCTTGTTCGTATCAAAGACTGGTCATTAATCTATTCATCTATCTATCTATATATCTTTCTACCTATCTTTCTATATATTTATATATCATTCACAGTTTTCATATCTCAGTCTGTTCATGTCTCTCTCTTTCTCTCTCTCTAAATATATATATATATATATATATATATATATATATATTTCGATCAGTTCATCTATCTATAACTTTTGGTAATGCTGTCGTGGATGTTTACTGAAAATAATAACTAGAACAGGAAAATTACAAAATATATGTTTACTTAAACAAGAACAATAAAAACAAGATATTTACGTCTGAAACTGGAAAGCAAGTGATATTTACCCGACCTCAGCACGATGCAAGATGTGGCACAAAGCCGATTTTTATGTGGGGCGATTCGAATTCGTAGGCTTGGGAAAAATTTGCCCGCAGACTCCGTATACACAGTGTCGGGTTTGTCAAGCGTCCCAGACGAGACTCTAACTTTGTGCAAAACCTCGTCTGGCTTCCTTTCTGGCCGAAGGCAGGGAGTTCAACGTCTTCATGCGTGCTAGAAAACAAGTATATTTAGTCACCCTCCCCCCGCCCTTCATGAAGGTTGTATATGACACAAGGCCGGGTTTAACGTGGGATCTCAGAGCCCGTAGGCTCGCATAAAAATATTCCTTTTCGGCCCCGTATAAACGGGTTCAGGGTCAGTCAACCACCTCCAACGAGACTCTGCCTTTCGGCGGAGCCTCGTCCGGGTTCCTCTCTTCCCGAAGGCAGAGAGTTCAACGTCTTCATGCGTGCTAGAAAACAAGTCACCGAGACCAACACGAGATATGCTTATATTCCTACTAGAAAAGTCTATTTAATACAGGTGTATCGGTTCTTTGTATCCTGGGGGTTATCAGTTTATTCCCTACAGCACCTCCACTTCGAGATTATTTTCCTCGGAAAATTAATAACATTTTCTTGTTGGATCGGGGCTCAAGGGTTCCACACGCCTTGTTTTGCTGGTCCGTCTTGGGACTACAATTTCAGTAGTTGGTGTCGCTGGAATATCGAAAATATCATAAAGTACATCCATCAGTACTTCCTTTGCTGCAGTCAAATTCTCAGAGAATCTAGGTCTCAAATGATTTATGTGTCTTTTGAGAACCCGCTTTGCACTAATGACCATGTACATTACTCTTCCAAATCTTTTATAATATTACTGTCTTCCCAAAAATATTTCCCTCTTTTAAACATCCTGAGGAAAACTTTATCCCTAGGCTTGAAATATTTAGTTGGGCTTCTGGAGTTATTTGAACTTTTTTTTTTCGTCCTGGCAGTAGTTTATTGAACACCACTCTTACATTTCGGGCGAACATCAGCTCAGTTCGCGCCATCCCTGACACTGCCTTCAGGTTCGGTGTTATTCTATCCACACTCAAAAATCTATTGTATTTAACCCACTTCTGTATCCAGCTCAGCCGATGCCATCTTTGACACTGCCTTCAGGTTCGGTGTTATTCTATCCACACTCAAAATTCTATTGTATTCAACCCTCTTCTGTATCCAGCTCAGCCGGCGCCATCTTTGACACTGCCTTCAGGTTCGGTGTTATTCTATCCACACTCAAAAATTCTATTGTATTCTACCCTCTTCTGTCTCCAGCTCAGCTGGCGCCATCTTTGACACTGCCTTCAGGTTCATGTGTTATTCTGTCCACACTCAAAAATTCTATTGTATTCAACCCTCTTCTGTATCCAGCTCAGCTGGCGCCATCTTTGACACTGCCTTCAGGTTCATGTGTTATTCTGTCCACACTCAAAAATCTATTTTATTTAACCCTCTTCTGTCTCCATGCCGTTGGACTTTTTAAGAGCTCTCTTGAATGTATTGACAAACCTTTCGGCCATAAGAACGGTACTTTTATGTTCAATCGCTATAATTTGTAAATATATTTTAAAATCACTCCCCGTGAACTGTGTTGCGTTTTCACTTACAATCGTTTCGGGCACACCAAAACTAGCGGAAAGGTCCTGAAGATAATCTATCGTAAATGTCGAAGTAGGTCTTCTGCGTTTGAATACCTCGGGCCATTTTGTGTAGCTGTCTACAACTAATATACAATATGACCACTAATATACAATATGACAACTAATATACAATATTTAGTGGTTCTGCAAAATTTGTGTAGCCTAGACTCTGGCCTATCCATTTTAGGCCATGGTTGAAATTTTACTCTTGGAGATTTTGCTGCAAGGCTTAACCTCTGCATGTTTTCACAGCTTTCTTAATATCCAGGCCCATCTTTGGCCAGTATGCATAATTTTTCACCAGAGATTTCATACGTGACATTATATGGTGACCTAAATTAAATTCCTTCAAAATCCTTTATCCACGTATATTAGAACTTCGTCACATATTGACAATGGTTTATTGCCAGATATTGTTTTATTGTTCTCCCTTAATATTGTTTTTTTCATTTTTATAATGAAATAATCTTTTTAACTATTAATCTTAATTTCGTCCAATGTCACTGGTAATTCTAGCACTGTATTATATAATTCAAATTTTAATTCATCCTCGGTTCTTAAGCTTGCTATCAACATGTCTCCCAGTTGTCCAGAAAAACGTGGAAACAACATAGACCATCCGCAAGACTTAGTTTCTTTCATGGTACAAACTCCATTATATAAGCATAGTTTAATAATATGATTCCCAAGCGCTTCAATCTGTTAGCTGTATGGGTAGGGATACCCATTTTCGATTCTTGCAAGTATTATCGGTGAAAATAAATTCTGAAATCTGAAACACTGCTCAAATTATTGGGCCAATAGCCTATATCCCGTCAACGGAAAAACACTTAAAATAATAGAAATTACTACGTTACTACTATATTTAAAAATCTGGCGTCACATTACCGCACGTTCAAAAAAAATCTTAACTGTTAATAATAGCATATTTTTTAATAAGACATCTTTAGACAAGTATCGCATTCATTTTCGTCTTGGAATTTTACCCGAAATTAACTGAAATTGAGAAAAAATAACATCTATGCTTGAGGATGGTAAATTTTTTTTACCGAAAGTACTTGCAAGCAATAAGGACCGAACATCTAATCAATTGTGCAATTAATAAAAATAATGATCGTGTCGTTCAGTGAGTGGACAGAGACTTAATGCATTTTGAATCTGCTAGTGAATTGAATTTGTCATCAATTACATTAAATTTATTGATTTATTCATTGAATTATTATTTTACAATATATATATATATATAATATTAGTGGTAAGTATACACATATGCAAAATACATAAATATATATACATAGGTGACCAGGGAATATTAGTGTTTAAGCCTTTTTATTATATATATATATATATAGAGAGAGAGAGAGAAAGAGATAGATAGATAGATAGACCACAGTTTGTTCATATGTCAGAGTGGTTATCTATCTATCTATCTATCTATCTATCTATCTATCTATCTATCTATCTATCTATCTATCTAATAAAGTTTGTTCATAACTCAATCTGTACATCTATCTATCTATCTCTATCTATAATTATAATTTTTTCATAAAAACAAAAACAATTTACTCGCGACAAATATGCAATAACTATTTTGGTTCTCAACAGTCGAGGTGCAACTAAAGCCACCAAAACGAAGTTGCCTCCTTGTCGTGAGTAAAATGTTTTTGTCTATATGATAAAAAATTATATATATATATATATATATATATATATATATATATATATGGAACCAAGTCATGGCTTTCATATAATTTCTGCGATCGCATAAACCCTTGCGTCGTGGCACCTAACACCTCAGACTGCAACCATCCTAGATTATTATCTGTGGAGCACTGTTGGGCGTAGGACCAACAAAATAACAAAGATGATCTGAAGTCAAGGATTATGCCAGCATTCACCAACTTAAACAAGGAAACCGTCCAGAAGTATTCTAGAACATTCCTAAGTCTCTCTCTCTCTCTCTCTCTCTCTATATATATATATATATATATATATATATATATATATATATATATATAAGTGAACATTGAAGTTGATACTCAGAGGCAGAAGGCTGTTTTATGCTAGACGCAATCGTCAGACCGCGAGTGTTGGATTTTTCTCGACTATTTATACATGGGTCAGTGTTGGATTGTGAGTAATCCATTCTGGCGGTTATTTTGGTGGGAGTGGCTTATTTATTTGTTTTAATTTTTTTACTTGTTTTTTATTTTCATTTTTTTAATTATATATATTTATTTTTTCTTGTTGGCAAAAAACAAGACGTTGGTAAAATATTCTTCAAACTCTTGAACAAAAACTTCCCAGAATCAAGCACTCTACATACAAGATTTAATAAAAAACACTGTAGAAATCAGTTGCACACAGAACATGGCCTAATTAATAAAAAAAGCATAAGGAAAACTATCAACAAACCACCCGAACAAATTAAGCCCACGTGTAACTGTAGAATAAAGATTAAACGTCCCTTAAACGGCAATTGCTTACAAAACAACGTGATATACCAAACCACGGTATAATGATGAAAAAGTATACATAATAGTAACTGAAGGACCCTAGAAACAAAGAATCTATGCACACAAAACATATTCAACATATTGTAAATACGCGAAAGGCACAGTGCTTTCTAAGTATATCTGGGAAATTATAAATAAAACAAAAATCACACCAAAAATATCACGGAAAATAAGGAAAATATCATCAGCCTACAACAATCAATCCAAAGCCTGCAAACTTTTCTTACAGTAAAAATAGCTATATTTACCTTCCAAGACCAAAAGAAATAAACGATCTGGGCTCATCTCAAAATGCAGACCCGAAAAAAAAATTTATTACGTTACTTAAAATCGAAACCTGAAACGAATAAATAAAAATAAACAAAATAATGCAAAAAAAAGTAAAAAAAAATAACCTAAGCAAATAATAAACAAATTAACAAACAACTCACGTTAGAATAGACGAAATAGAATAAATAAAAATAAATATATAAAAAACAAGTAAAAATAATCAATCCAAATAAATAAATAAATAAAGTAAACAATAAACAAATTAATAAACCAATCCCGCCAAAATAACTGTTAGAATAGCCTACATCAATCAATCGAAAAATTGTACGAGGAAATATCTATAACTGCTATATAACGATAAAAAAGAATTTACTACGTTACTTAAAAATCGAAAACTGAATAGAGCGAATAAAAATATACAAAATGAAAAATGAAAATAAGTAAATAAACAAGAAGGTGGGAGTAGAAGGGGATTCATACCTTTCCCAAGGTTATTAGTACGTAAGTGAATGTAGGGGATTTGGTTGTAATTTGAACTCGGCTTTCCGAATCCTCAATCCAAGCCACTATGCATTACTCTACCATGCCGCCTTCTTTGTTATAGATATGACTTTTTGCATCATTGATGTTTTGACAAGCATACTTCGCATAGCGTCAATTAATATCGGCTTACCAAATCGTTAACCCGACGTACAAGCAAATAATTACCACTGTAACTGAAGAATGTTGGAAAACCTATCAAATTGTTACACGTCAAAATGGGCTCGAAATTAAGGAAGTTGACATGGGAAGCTGAGAATTAGTTTATTGATGTTTGCTGCCCCAACATTATTAATTAATTTTCGTCATGAATTCTCGTATGTCGTAGGCTAACCAACATCATTAAGCAACTCTTTCTCATGATCCTTATTTTGCAGATAATGATTCATCTGAAATAAATCTTGATTCATCCTAGGTAACTTTTTTACGTTTCTGCTTAATAGGAATGGTGTCAAATTCTCGGTCCGACGAAGTTGCCTTCAAAAGCATCTCCCAAGGGAGTTTGCATCATTAAGTTTTTTTTACAAATAAATGCAACTGCCGAAAAGAATATGATCTCTCCCTTAAACGGTCAGAATGATAACATTGTATACCGAGGTAGCATTTGAACTGTGTATGACGATACACTACATCCGGCAGCAATACTGGTTATCGGAGATTAGAGGTTTTGAGCAGTGTGGAGCCACCTCTTAATTGCTCTTGTTACCACGTCCACCCTGACGCGGAGTGGTAACATTTGTTAATGTTCGAGCTATGGTCAAATAGTGAACCCCTACTAAAAACACTATGAAATTATAAAAATACATAATTATCGTAAAATGATCAGCAATTTATTATTAATTTAAAATGACCAACAATACATTTTTAAGTCAAAATGACTCGGTATACATTATATATTAGAATCACCAACAAAACATTTTATAGCAAAATGACCGACAATGCATTTTATAGTAGCATAACCAAAAATGCATTTATAGAAAATTAACCAAGAATACATTTTATCTGTAGTTGAAGGCATGCGATTGCTTTCAAAATATTTAGTTTTCGGCATTAAATAACCCATAGAGGTTGATATGCCGCTAAACAAAATAAACCAACAACAAACCTAGGTAGCATATATTCCGGTAAAAATGTCAAATTTTATTTTGTTTCCTCTGAAAATGCTTGGAAATTTCGTTTCTACCATCAGCGAATGTCGTTAGGCATTATAAAATATATAAACAACACTGCTCTCTCTAAATATGTCTGGGAATTAATGAATGGTGGTAGTACACCTATTATCCAAGGGAGTCACACCGGATGAAAAGAGTTGTCTCTCGTGCTATCGAACACTTTCTCAATGACCTTCAGAATTTTTTCATTCTCTTTTCCAGTTACACGACCTTTTTTAAAGCTGATCGTTTTGTGTTCATTTTGTTTAGTTCTTTTTTCGTAACAGATTTAATGTTTAGTATAGAGCTTAGAAAAAATTCGCAGTGTGAGATAGGCAAGAAGTAAGGCATGTAGCAACATCAGCACGGAAAAGGGCACTCCTTTAAAGCCAAGGAAGGGCAAAAATATTTTAAGTCAAGTGATTGCGATTGCTGTATGAGTCGTACGATTTTTGAATCAAGCACAGCTAACGCCGGGCCATACTACTAGTATATATATGTAAAAAAAAAAAAAAATATATATATATATAACTTGTTTAACAAATAGCCCAATCATCAGATTCATAGTAGGAATAATTAACTACAAACATGCATACAACATAACACCTTTCATAATCCATAGCCCAAATTAGTAGTTTAAATACCTTACATAAAAGATAACCCTTTATGAAGTCGTCAAAAAACAAACGTTACGAAAGTTTTTTTTTTGTTTTTTTTATATGCACATTTCCCTTTCATAATAAAATAAAATAAAATAAATAAATAAATCTCCATAGACAAGCAAACTAGACGAAGGTTAATACATCTTCATGTTTCATTTTAGACACCCCCCACCTTTCCCCGACTTGACATCTTGAAAGTATCTCTATACCGCTACTTATTATTAACACCCTACACTCGCCTACCCAATTTAGACAATTCGCCCTAGCTGTTACCATGGGGATTTTGATTTCAGTTTTTGATTTCAATTTTTAAAACAAGTAAATTTCAGATATACGTTATTCCAACAAAAATTTCGCTTGAAGATGGAACGGAGCCCATTTTTATTTTTAATTTAAACTCAATTTAATTTAAAGGATTATATTGAAGTTTTCGGCTCTTGTTTTGAAACATGAGACCTCTTATGTAGCGATTTGGAATCATATTTTAAAATAAATAATTATATATATATATATATATATATATATATATCCAAACCTCACGTGCACTTCCTAAATTTGAGGTTACATATTGATTGCTCCTCTTTAACCATTTTAACGTCTATTATTATTAACTAGTTACCCGGCATTCCTCTTTTAAACCATAATCTTGCCTTTTTTTCCACAATAACCCACTACCAACGCTATACATTCTGTATTTACAACCCAATATTATATTAAGTTTATATTCAATTTGAACTTTGAATCTGCGTTGAATTTAGAGTTCCTCCCATGAAACTCAGAATATATATTTTTAAATCAAAATTAATAATTCATGCCTGATGAGTTGTTAGAACAACGAAACTTTAAGCTACACTTCGAACATGCGAATATGCATATTTATTAATATATACTTCTTAGCTCTGTTTAACCATATTGAGCAGTGTTTTGTTTATACCTCATATAAATTGAGTAAATATTTATTCGCTTACCTGTGTATGCAAGCTAACACACGTATATAAGTTTGCTAACATATACTTATTTGATTTATCAACAATAATACATATATATATATATATATATATATATATATATATATATATATATATATATATATATATAAATAACAAAAACTGTCAGATTTACAATCCAGAGTTTATTTTTATAACCACTGCTCGATAAACAGTAGAGTCTAATATTATAATATTATTAATTAAAATTATGTATTAAGTATCCATCGCAACACATAAATTACCATGTTTCGGAACCCATGTTTAAATTAAACTTAAAATTAAATTTTTTATTCCACCGTCAAGCGACGTTGAATAATTTCGAGAATTTTTTTTTCGAAAGTTATAAACCGTTCC